TCATGTCTGTAATTCTGTCTTTTTAGAAGGGAATTAATAAAAGAGTAACCTATTTTTGAACATACCACATTCTTTTAATGTTAAGCCTAAATATTTTAGACTGTGTTAATCAAATTGAGTAATTAGATATTCTGGGAAGGGGAGACCATTGACTTGAATCAGGGAGTTATAACTGTACAGGGTGCTATTAATTTGCAACTGAAAACGCTTTTCACTTTCATCAGGGCCTGGTGGTTCCCGTCATCAGGAACGTGGAAACAATGAATTATGCAGATATTGAGCGAACCATCTTTGAACTGGGAGAGAAGGTAAAGTAGAATGCAGCATGTGTTTTAGCTGCAGGGCAGGGCAGGGAAGCAGCCCGGGGAAGGCAGGGCTTGCCAGTGAGCAATGCTCGGAGAGCTGGAGCCTCACGTTGTTCCGTAAGAGTGCATAGCCTCTCACCCACTAGAGCTGAAGTGCAGACATTGGGCAGAGCTTAGCATGCTCTCGTGACTGAAGATCTCATCAGGTGAATCTGCTGGAACAGAAAAGGACCTGAAGGCCTTGTGTCTGTCCTTTGGTGGAGCATCTCAGCTGAAAAACTTCCTTTGTAAAAAAATATATATTTTTATTGATTTCAGAGGAAGGAAGGGGGGGGGGGAGGAGAGAGAGAGAGAGAGAGAGAGAGAGAGAAACATCAATGATGAGAGAGACTCATTCTGCCTCCTGTATGCCCCACACTGGGGATAGAGCCTGCAACTGGGTATATGCCCGGACCAGGAATCGAACCATGACTTCCCGGTTCATAGGTCTACGCTCAACCGCTGAGCCACACTGGCTGGACTCAGTTGAACAACTTTCATGTTACAGCTGGGTCTTGCCATGTTGACCTCAGATATGAGCCTTCTGGACTTCCTTTAGGTGAAGAAAGCTCATCTGACCTTAAATTGCAATGATGTAATCTCTGTTTTTAGGCCCGGAAGAATGAACTCGCCATTGAAGATATGGATGGTGGTACTTTCACCATTAGCAATGGAGGTGTTTTCGGCTCCCTCTTTGGAACACCCATTATCAACCCCCCTCAGTCTGCCATCCTAGGCATGCACGCCATCTTTGATAGGCCAGTGGCTGTGGGAGGCAAGGTAAGAACCATCACTGTTCATGTCCTAGGAGCTAGGTGATGAGAGGGAAATCTTACTAAGTGCTAATTGTGAGATTCACTGTAATTTTAGGCTTAAGTTTCATCTCTTAGTTTCTAATTAAAGCTAAGGCACTGATTCCCATTGTGGTGTGTGGATCAGCATCATCTGGGAACTTACCAGAAATGCACAATCTTGGACCCCCTTTTGGACCTGTTGAAGCAGAACCTGCAGATGATTCTGGTGCAGTAAAGTTTGAGGACAGTTGAGCTAGGAAAGCTTGCTCCTTCATCTAGGACAGTCAGCCGGCTTCATTCTCTAGGTGCTGTAGATAGTGGGGATACAGTTGGGGACCTGGTCCTTGCCCAGGAAAAGGATAATGCAGAGCAGTCTGCGAGCTTCTAAGTGTAGGGTAAGGCTTAGAGGTTCTCTGGGAGTTCAGGGAAGGAAGTCCCAGGGTCTGGAGCTGGCCCCAAAAGACATGTCAGGAGGAAAACATTTTCTGGGACTGCGTTTCAAACTTTCTTGGGTCACTAACTCCTTTGTGAGTCTGAAATCATAGATCTCCCCCCCCCCACTCCCCCCGAAAATGCTCACACACCCTACTTTACATACAATTTCAGAGAATTTGTGGACCCCAGGTTTAAATTTATAACCCTAAAGTCAGACTGAAAGGGAAACTTTTCCTTTAGGAAACGAATGAAGGGTAAAGTCTGTTTAAAAAGGCAGTGTGCGGAGACTCCTGTTCTCTGTTTCAGAGTGGGGCCAGCAGGGGAGCTGTGCACTAAGGATAAGGCTTGGTCTTCGGAAATATTGTATCTAGAGCAACACCAATAGGAAAGGCACAGAACTTCCCTCATTTCCCCACTTCCACTGGGCTTTTCTGCTACTGCAGACGAGTCTATAACCCTCCTCTCTCTGTAGGTGGAGGTGCGGCCCATGATGTTCGTGGCACTGACCTATGATCACCGGCTAATTGACGGCAGAGAGGCTGTGACTTTCCTCCGAAAAATCAAGGCAGCGGTAGAGGATCCCAGAATCCTCCTAATGGACCTTTAGGAAGAAGTCACACACCCAACACATTGACCACGCAGGAACTGAAAACCAGTCTTCTCTCTGCCCCACGTGGGTCCCGGGTTCGCCTGGCGACAGACAGGCACATGCTGTTGGCCTCAAGCAAGGAAGCCAGGGCACTATATAACCAGCAGTCGCAGGTCTTTCTTGGTGTTCCTACCAGCTCTCTCTCTCTCTCTCTCTCTCTCTGTACCCCTCTCTTAACACTCGAATATCTTATTTCCTTAGGCTTGAGGGAGAGAGAGAGAGCCTTCACAGATGCTCATTAATATCCCTGCCTTTCTTCATTAACCCTCTGCCGAGATAATTTTGCTTCTCCCCCGTGCCAGTACACGATAGGGAAACCACTGGGGACCATGGGATTAAGTTTCAGTCTTTTGAAAGTGTGTTCTCCAGAGCTGCCTGGGAGGATTGTGCCTCCCACGCTCGGAGCAGCCTCTGCCCTGGCTGTGCACATTCTCACTTGATTCCACCTGTGTGGAGCTATTGACCACAGGCCAAGGTGCTGCTTTGCTGCTGAAATGCACCTTCCTTCTCAGCTGTCATTGACTTCAGGATGCTTCTACTACCTCTTCCAGGAAGCACAGGCCGGGGGACCTGGGTAGGAGAGGTGTTGGCAGTGTGGAGGGGGAGAGGGCAGATTCCCCCTGAGGTCATAGCTATAAACAAGAGAACAGAAGCCAGGCCTGCCCTCACATTCTGTCATAGCCTCACACCAGGAAAACCCATTTTGGCACAGCTATGGTTGTGCCAACCTTTCTAGGTTGCTAGGAACCGTTCTAGCACATTGTTCTCATCTGGAGCCGATTCTAGTACATCAAGGCAGTGGAGGATGGACTGGAGCCTGGTAGAGATTGGGGGAGGGAGGCTTCCTGTGGACAGGCTCGGATTGACTTGAGCTTTTAAATTCCATTGGTATGAGCATGTGACTGAAGAGGCAGTTCTGTTCTTTCCTGATCATGGCCCTTGGGAAGTGGGGCCTTGGCTCTTCTGCAGAGCACGGATCTGGGGCAGGGTGGACTGGTGGGAACCAGCCCCAAGGTGCCAGTACACGGGGGAAGTGACCGATGTTTCCTCTGAGGTACTGCCTGATGGGTCTGGACACAGTCATTGGAATTCCTTGGAACGTGGTTAAATGTACACGTCTTGTCATGAAAGCTACCAGGCTTCATTGCTTTAAATCCAACTGCATTCAGGCCTGAGGCTGCTGACACTGGACATGGGAGCCACTTACTTAGTGCAGAGTGCCCACTTGTATCTCAAAGAAGTAAGGCCTGGGGGACGGGTGGGGGGAAGGGATGGGAGCCAATACTGAGTGCCTGCAGCATCTGCTATGTCTTCACTATTCAGAACTCGTAACTGAAATATTTAAAGAAACTGATTTTAAATGCAAATTAAAGGGCAAAAGTTCTCAAGCAGAGTTCCTGTTTCTTCTGTGTTCATTTTGGTTACGGAGGTTGTGTAAGTCTCCAACACTGGTTATTGGCATTGAAAGCCACCTAAGGTCCCTTTGGTTACCCTGTGATATCTGAGTGTTAAAGTAAGTTAACACTGCACTGATTTGACAAACAATGGAACTGGCTGTCTGCAGGCAGGGAAGCGCCCTGGCCTCCTTCCAGTTGACACCTCAAAGCCTGGCGAGCCGGGCTCTTGGGCAGAGACTGGTTCCCACCTTTGAGGCTCCTGCAAGCACCAACACACTTGCATTATTTCTGGGATGGATACCAAGGTCAGTAAGAACCATGAGGGTCGATTACCTCCTGGGAGCGGTGGTCTGTGAGGGAGAGGGATAGTTAACCGAGACTGACTCCAGGTGACTGGCATGATGGTCTCCAGGCTTAAATATACCCGGTCTTTCCACACAGTCCGTGCCTGCTGATCTTGCTTGCAGTGGTGCCATCTCTGTATGAAGGTCTGCCCCAGGAACAGAGTGGCTCCCCGAGGGTAGAATTTGGGTTCAATGAAAGGAATTTTAGAATTTTCTATTAGGCCCAGGACCTGGTGCTAGCTTTCATTTCTCTAGTAAACCTACAAGGAGGTAGACTCTAATCCCCATAAGGTCTGGGACTACAGGATTCTGGCTTAGAGCCTGGCACAGTGCCACATGTGCATTGTTTATTGCACAGATGGGGCCCAGAGGTTCCAGAAGCAAATTGGACTTGGAGCAGTGGTTGGAGGTGGTCTGGCCTGACTTAGGGAGTGTAGCAAAGGAAGACTGGACAAGCTCCACTAGGCTCCCATCAGACCTTGTCATTAACCTCGTGTGTGTGTGTGTGTGTGTGTGTGTGTGTGTGTGTGTGTGTGTGTCAGAGAGAAAGGGAGAGAGAAACATCAGTGATGATGAGAATCATGGGCTGCCTCCTGCACACCCCCTACTGGGGATCAAGCCTGCAACCCAGGCATGTGCCCTTGACGAATCGAACCCAGGAACCTTCAGTCTGCAGGCTGACGCTCTATCCATTGCGCCAAACCAGGCGTCATTAACCTCTGAGTAGGAGCCACCATCTGTCTCAAGGGGTCACTGAAGATTAAATTATTCCCCCCCAGGCATCATGACCCTCTTCTAAGTCTTGTCTTTTATTTCCCATGAAGCCCAGTGCCCCTCTATGCCAGCACTTCCCCTTGGGCTCAATGCTGCTCTGCAGGGCACAGGCTGGCATGCGGGTGGGTCTACCACCAGCCCTGCTTCCTACTTCCTAGTGGACTCCAAGTTCACTGTTGAGTATCATGGAGCTTCTTTGGGGGAGCCTTCCAGTCTTCCTGTCCCAACAGGGTAGCTCTCGTTGCATTAATGAGGCAAGACCACCACAGGCAACATCAGGCTTTATTGGGGGCAAGATGGTATGGACACGCCCCAGAGAAACCAGGACCATACCAGGCTGTGCTTCCCTATGTCCTCTGCCCGAGTCACTCCAGCCTCCCTCACAACCCAGTTCCCCGCCCCTTCACAATCAGAATGGAGATGAGTGTCAAGGCCGCCACCTGGTGGTATAGCAGACACAAGGCAAGGGGTTGGGGGCAGAGGTCTGGTGAAAGTTTTAGTTGCCACACCCCAGTGACAGGGTGAGTCCTGAGAGGAAAAAGCCCCCAAACCTGAGGAGGGGGTTGTATTTGGGGTAACTACTTATCCCAGTTCTTCAGAGACCAAACATCTTGCTTCTGGCTAAAAGCCTGGGCAATCATTCTGTGTGTTGTGATTCATTTCAAAAGGGGATGAAGTCACAGTAGGCAATGAATTGAGTGGACCCTCAAGACTCAAATGCAAATTGGTGAACAGGACCAATGCCTGAGAAGGGAATCCTAATGGGCCCAGCTTGTCTTAGCAGCTTCTGCCTGGAGGCTGAACTGAGGTCTCTCAGACCTGTGGGGCAGGCTCCCCTTTCTCTCCACCCCAGTGGGCTAGCTAGGGAGGGGAGGTCTTATTCTGCTTCTAAAATTGCTCTAATTGGCAAAGGTGCCCTCTCCCCTCCTCCTAATCCCTGTTTCCTCCCCCACGCCCCTCTTCCTTTTGCTCTTCAGAGTCTGAAATTGCAAGACAGGGGCATGGTCAGGAGGGGGAGTGGATCACCCTGTTCCCCACCTCACTGCATGCTCACTACAGACGTCTTCCCTGCGTCCCCGGCCTCCCCGCCCCATGCAGGAGGAGTCTGATAGAAGAGGCCACTATTTACACGGCTAAGGTATCAGCCAGGGCAGCCCTAATTGGAGTCCACTAAGCCAGTGGACCAGTATCCTGAGATAAGTCTCCAGAGATGTCCCGAGTAGGGCACAACATGGCAGGTAGCGAATCACAAAACCTCAAGGTTGGCTCAGCAGGTGGTCAGTACTTCGGAGCGAATGTGACAGAAGGCACCCTTTAACGGGGTAGGTCTGTGTTCAAGGCTCAGGGTGTGCGCTCAACAGGTCTCTGTTGACTGATGGGTGGACGGAGGGGCCCAAGCCACCTAGCAGGGTGAGCTCTGTCCTGTCCCTTCCCATCAGCAGTGACTAGAAAGGGTTCCTCCAAGAGCTGGCGGGGAGACTCCCTAGGGACAGCGGCGATGATGGCTTCTGAGCCCACAGGAGGGAGCAGAGCCGAGCAGGAAAGGCGGCTGACCCGCATTCTTTGCAGAGGCCGCTGGTTAGAGTGACAGGATGAGGGTCAGCTCAGAGTGACAGGATGACAGGCGAAGAGAAGAGAGGAGACTCAGACCAGTCCGGCTGCTCCCATCACCCACTCCACCCTCTCTTACCCCACCAGCTTGCTCCACTGGATGGTACTGAAAAAGGGGTGGGACTTGAGTCTGTTGACACCGCCCCCTCCAGTTCCCAGGCGTCTGCTGGCATCGAACTGCAGGAGCTGTGGAGAAAGGCCTGGTCAGGTCCTAGCAGGCCTTCCCAGCCCCATTGCTGAGGTGTGGGCTGACTTCCAGGGACTTGTCACCCTGGCCCCGGGGGCTCACTCCCTGCCAGCCCAGCCCATAGAACCCCCAGTTTTACCCTGGGGAACACTGGTGGTGTTTGGCCACCAACATATAGAGAACTTTGTAAGCTCCTGCACCCACATCAGCCATCCGGGAGCAGCATGCTTGTTCACACTCAGGGTTCTGCCCTCCCCGCGCCCACCCTCAGGCCAAGGAGCCGCCTCTGCTGGGCTGGCTGACCTCACCTCCGTCAGCAGGGAGGCTGCTGGGCGACTGAGCCACTCGGGCAGCTGGAGCTGGGTGTGGGGCTGGATTCCTGAGGGGTGGCTCTGGGATAGGGCCTGGGAAGACACAGGGAGGGGCCTCAGGAGGCAACCCCTGGAGAGTCTGCACACCCCAGCGGCAGCCAGGGTTTTATTTTTCCCTGGGTCACATTCCATGGGATGATGACAACGCAGACCATTGGATCTGCTTTGGATCCATTGTATGCCAGGCGGCGCTAGATGCCTGACAGCCATTGTCCACACTCCCACAACCCCTCTCAGAGGAAATACAAGTATCGCATTGGAGAGACAAAAGCAGGCTGAGAGGTGAAGGGACTGATGCTGAGGGTAGGGTTTGAACCCAGGTCCCTCTGGCTCTAAGCTCGCTCGATGCATTGCTCTTGGGCTGCAATCAGGACAGGCACTTCAGGATGAGTATTGGAACTTGTCTTCATACAGAAAAACAACAACACAACCCTCCACGGGCCACTCATTTGGCAGCAGGCCACGGCATGCTCCCGCCGCGCCAAGGCAGGGCTGTGGTGAGGGAAGGCAGGGCCTCCCTGTGCTCCAGCAGGGTGCAGCTGTGGAGAGCAAGGAGGTCTGTCTGGAGGTCAGGATGAGCTGCAAGAAGCGACCAGGAGGAAGGCCAGAAGCTCAGGCTAGAGAGGTGGTGGGAGGCTGAGAGGGGAGAGCAGCTCTGTTTGCAGCCTGGCCTCTCAGAGGCCCTGGGCTACGGGACAAAAGCAGGAGGCAGCCACGGTGAACTGGTCCGATCTGGGCTTCAGGTCACACTGCATCCTCTCTGGCTATTTCCTGCTTAAAGGCAGCTCGGCCTTTCCCTTGCTGTCTGACCTCACCAGCCCCAGGTGCAGAGCTGAGCTCATCGGGTGGACAGAGGGCAGAAGCCGCCATCCTGAGCAAGGGCGTTTGCCGGGGAAACTTTGAGCTCTTGGCTGACCCAGGCTGGACGGACAGCGGCTGGCCTGCATCCAGGAGGCCCTCTCTCCTGTTCGTCAGCCAAAGTCTGGGGGTTACAGCCCAGGAGGCCGTCGGGGTGGGAAGTGAGCAGGGGGAAGCGGCTGAGGGGGTGAGCCAGGCGCCTTTCGGGGAAGAAGCGCTGTCCCATCCCACCCTTCCTCCAAAACCCGCCCTGACCACCCAACTCAGCTCTCACCCACTGACATTGGCAGTCTCACCAGCTACAGCCACTAGCATGGGGGCGGGGGGGTACCAAGTGGGCCCATGGCCTGGGTGGCAGTGGCTCCCTGCGTCTCTCATGGCCTGTGGGGGTGAGCTGGGGAGGGGCACCAGGCAGCCTGAGCCCGACATGGGCCGGTTGTATTAAGCCCAGGCCACCCTGTCCTCAGTGACCCCCACAAGAGCCCCACACCCTGCCCTGCCACTCACCGTTCCAGTCAGCAGTTCATACAGTAGAGACCCAAAGCTCCACCAGTCACAGGCTTCCGTCAGCTCAGAAATCCCACCCACCTCTGCGGGAGCAAGAACACAGATGTCCCCACCTTCCCCGAAAAGGTGGGTCTCCCCTCTATTCATCCTACCCAGACACGGCCCATCCCCTCTGTCCCCCTCACCCCCCCCCCAGGTTCACCCACACAAAGGCACGGGGTCCAGGGCCCTGCCCCCCCTCCTTGCCTGGGGCACTGTAGAGGTTGTCCACAGCCTCCCGGCAGCACTGGGGCTCCACCTCTGACCACTGGCCAAAGTACGTGAGCCGAACATGACCTTCCCGTCAGTGTGCACAGGGGATGGAAGGGGGACAAAAAATACGATCAGTCATTGCTGAGCAGCTGGCCTGGGGGAGGGGCCTCCAGGACGTTCCCCAACACAAGGCAGGAGCCACTGGCCTCACTAAGCATGGCCTCCCTAGGGGCATGCAGCCCTGAGGCCCGGAGACAACCGGGTATTCATAGGTGCTGCTGCCCTGGACTCCTGGGCCCGAAGGGGCTTGTTTCCAGACTCATCCTTGGAGACTTGGCCCAGTCTTGTGTGAAAAGGCTGGGGGCACCTTTGAACCAGGAGGTCACGGTTTAATTCCCGGTCAGGGCACATGCCTGGGTTGTGGGCTCGATCCCCTGCATGTGGCATGCAGGAGGCAGCCGATCAATGATTCCCTCTCACCATTGATGTTTTTCTCTCTCTCTCTCCCCCTCTCTGAAATCAAGACAAATATATTTAAAAAAAAAAAAAAAAAGGCTGGAGGAAGCAGGGGGAGAAGCAAACCTCCGCCATTCCCTTGAATTCGTGGCACTCTCCTCCGTCTTGAGGCTTTGCCCCCCGCCCCCCGTACTCCCCTCCCCCCAGGCCTGGGCACCTACCTGCTTGGTCCAGGAGCAGGTTCCGGGGATTGAGGTCCCGGCACAGCACGCCCTGCTCGTGCAGCGCCTCCAGGGCCACCAGCGTCTCAGCCGCCCACTGCTTGACCTGCTCTTCCCTCACGCTCCAGGCGCCCCCGCCAGACCCCCGGCTGGCCTTGTCCACTGAGGGGCAGCTCTGACCTCTGCTGCGGCCACAGCCCCCCAGCACCCGGCCTGCCCCCTCGCGAACCCAAGAGAGCCCCCAAGGGGACCCAGTGTCTGAGTTCTGGCCAGGTTCTCTCCGGGCCTGGAGGTGCAGGCGGCCACCGGGAGCCCTCGGAGGGTCCGAGGAGCGGGAAGTGCTGGTCCTGGCTGAGGGTGCACCTTCAGCCTCTCTCTGGGGTCTGACGGGTGGGACCCCCCTGGCTGGGGCGAGGCTCCGGCAAGTCCAAGGAGACTCCAGCGGCACTCTGTCCTGCAGGCGGGTGTGGCCAGGGGGCAGCAGCGTGGGGGTCCGGATGCTGAGGCGGGAGTTGAGCTGAGCCTTCATCTTCTCCAGGCTGGAGCCAGACCTGAGCCCAGACTGTTGGGGGCGTGCCTGGGAGAGCAGGTGGGACCAGAGCGTGCCTCCTGGGCCAGGCGGAGGGAGCGGCGAGCATGGGGATGGGAGAAGAAGAGCATGGACACCGGGTCCCGGCCCCACCCTGCGGATCCTCTGCCCTCCGGGTCCTCGCCTCTGCTCCTCCCTCCCGGAGCCTGAACCTATCACCTCTCCTTCCTGTCACTCACCTAGAGAGGACCCAGCCTCCCCATCTGGCACGAAATAGGTGCTTAACCCCTAAGGAAATGTAAATTATTGTTAATGTCCTTGGTTTTGGTGTTGGTTTACCAGTGTTCAATATATTTTATACATATATATATTTAAAGATTTCTAGGGACAATAGTACAATGAAATGTAAGTTAGTAAAATAAAAGAAGGCCAGGCATGGACCTGTGATGACTCTATGTTATGAACTAGAACGTGCACCTCATTAAAAAAAATCTCATCACCTGCCCTAGCCGGTTTGGCTCAGTGGATAGAAGGTCAACCTGTGGACTGAAGGGTCCAGGTTTGATTCTGGTCAAAGGCACATGCCCGGGTTGTGGGCTCGATCCCCAGTAGGGGGCGTGCAGGAGGCAGCCGATCAATGATTGTCTCTCATCATCGATGTTTCTATCTCTCTCTCCCTTCCTCTCTGAAATCAATAAATATATATTTAAAATCTCATCACCCTAACAGGAAATCAATAAATATCTGCTACATGACCAGCTCCTGTCCTTACAGCTTCAGAACCACCAGCCCACAGGGCACTCTGAGGGATGGGCGCAGACTAGAAAAATGAAAAGAGCCAGGACCGGAGGACATGGTGACAAAGGAGACATCTGCATACATGTCCTCTCTCTCGCCAGCCCTACGTGAACATCTTCCCCAGGATGTCCCTGCCCCTTAGCACCCCTGGGGCCCACACAGCCTGACCCGGCCCTCACCCTCCAGCAAGACCGGGTCCTGGTCTGTGCTGCACACCTGGTGCGAGTTACCCCCTCCCTCGGTTTTGGCATTTTAAGGGCATGAAAGGGGACACCTCCCCAAGGCCCCTCACCTTGCACATGCTCCAGGTGCAGGAAGATGGAGTCCTCGCTGACAAAGTACCGCAGCAGCTTGGTCATGTAGGGGACACCGTGCGGGATGATGGTCAGCCGCTCCCGGCTCGCCGTGTGACACCTGGACAGGCTCTGGGGAGGGGGCAGGCCAGAGGCTGCTCTGTTAGGGGACGTCAGAGCCCCAGCTTCAGTGGCCACCGGATGAGGGAGGGGAGCCACCCTGAGGAGCAACTGCCTCCCTCACTTCCTGCCCTGGCCCTCACCCCTGTCTTCCCTATGCCATCCAGGTCCCCCACCTTCTGGGCCAGGGAGGAGATAGTGAAGTATGTGTGTCTGGAGGGCCCGGGCACGCTCAGGGCAGGACAAGTGGCTTTCGGATTTGGAGGGAGCAAGGACTTCATATAGAGGTTCTGGGTAGGGGGTGCCCTAGAGGGTAGCGGGGTCTAAGAGCTCTGAGAAAGTCCCAAGGGGAATGTAGAATGGAGGGGGCTGGGTGGCACCTGCCTTCACCACGAAGGTCCCTCCAGTCGCTGGGTCCTGGACCAGCTGCACCTGCCAAGGTCCAGGAGGCATTGGTCAAGGCACATGCTAGTTCCTGGGGCTCCACGACCCTAATCCCAGCCCCCAGGTTCCTCCACTGAGGCGGACTCACTCCAGAGGCAGGGCAGAGAAGGCAGGCCCCAAAACGGACATCAATCCCGTCCTGCTCACCCACCCTTCTTAGACCTGCAGGTCTTAGCTCATGTGCCGCCGCCTTCAGGAAGCCTTCCCAGCCCTCAGGTGCTCTCCAAGCTCACCCGTAGGGGAACCTTATCACACAGTGTCTAATTTCCTGTCTCCCCACTGCACTGTGAGCCCCAGGAGGACAGGAACCCACTGTCCAGCTGTTTCCAGAGCACACATCCATGGTGAGTGGCCCAGTCTGCAGGGTCTGAGGGTGTCACGGATGGAAACGACCTCAGAGCCAGTTACGTCCTCTGATCTTTCATTTTACAGGTGAAAGGCTGAGGCTCTGAGAGTGTGGCCCAGGCCACCAATGGGCCAAGCCGTGCCCACGTGCCTGGGCTGGGAGTGCTCTCTCAGGCCTCTCCCCCTGACGCCCACCCTTCTTTTAAATAATTCTCTCTGGAGGCTGTCTTCGGAGAGCAGCCCACTCCTTCGCCCATTGGTTTTGTTCAGAGGCAGGGCCTTGTATCAAGTTGGGAACTTGCCTCTTCTCGTGGTGGGCAGGGTGGACCCCAGGCACAGGAGAGGGCATGCCGGGCATGTCGGGGGCAGAAAATGGCCCAGATTAGGGGCCTGCGGGGGCAAGACCACTGGGTGAGGTTGTGACTCCTTGCAGACACTCCCCGTGGTGGTGGGTGGAGCCCGGCCCTCTGGCCAGACCACTGGGCAGTGGAGCCTGCAGCCTCGGGTTGGAACTAGGCTTAGATCTTGGGCAAGTGAATCGGTTTCCTCATCTACCAAAGAGTGATCGCAAATGCCCCCTTCCCTCATCACTGGTTTGGTTGATGCCATCTTGGATGTAAAGGCCATGAGCACGCCAGTTGTCACACTTGCCAAGACACATCACCTCTCTGAACCTTGTTTTCTTAACTGCAAGTTGGGGTCATAGCAGTACCCCATCTGGAGGTCATTAGGATTCTATAAAGCAGACAACTCAAGCAGAGCAGCAACCTGTGCCTGCCACAAACACGCCCTCGATAATCTTTAGTGATTATTATTATTATTATTAAGAAACCCCACTGGGTAGGAAGCACATACTCTGTGCTAAATGCTTTATATGATTTAGTCCCACAGCCCTACTCGGTGTTAATGGTGATCCATTTTATTGATGAAGAAATTGAGGTTCAGCCAGGCCTGTGTTGCTTAGTGACTGAGCATTGACCTATGAACCAGGAGGTCATGGTTCGATTCCCAATCAGGGCACATGCCTGGGTTGTGGGCTCCATCCCCAATAGGGTCGTGCAGGAGGCAGCCGATCAATGATTCTCTCTCATCATTGATGTTTCTATCGTTCCCTTTTCCTTCCTCTCTGAAATCAATAAAAAGATTTTTTTTAAAAAGAAATTAAGGTTCAGAGAGGTTATGTTGCCCACGATCCCGCTCCTGAAAAGTGGTAGAGCCAGGCCTCGAATCCAGGCAGGCTGATCCTGGGCCCTGGAGAATAACTGCAATTAGGGCACAACCAGCTCACTCTGGCACGTGCCTTCCCCCCTGGGCCCGTGTCCCCATCACCAGTGAAGTGAAGGCGGTGGACTTGGTGCAGCAGGAGTGAGGGGGTTCCTCCTCCAAGAGCCACAGACTGAACCCAGCCTGGCCCCAGCTCCTTTGCCAAATCTGTACAATGTTTGAAAAAGAAATCTGGGGTCATTTAGGAGAACAGAGTTTCCCACAAGTACCGACACCCAGATAATTCCCCACTGCCCCTTGCCAAGTGGGGCTTCCTACTACCTCGTCCGGGACACGGCCCTATCATTCACAGAGCCCAGAAACCAGCGGGGAAGGCTGGGGCAGTGAGAAATAAAACCGCAATCAGGACATCGAAACAAGTGGGTTAAACTCTGTATGTACATGAAAACCTACCGATCTGGAAAGAATTCAACCAAAACATTAGCAGTAATTATCTTGGAGTGAGGTAGGGTGGTGGGGAATTGTTTGTTTCGGTTTTAAATGTCTTCCTCTTTCATGTTATCTCAAAAGGGTAGCAGACAGGGCATTTTCCCATTAAACCCAGCAAACAAAAACACCGCCTTCCTCTTTTGCTCCTTGCTACGGGAGACACAACACCTGCTAGTCACGTGGCCTCTGTGGCCTGTTTCACGCTCTGTAAGACAGTTACTAACAGTCAGCACTACCCAGAGGAGCTGGTGGCCGTGAAGGAAAACCCCACGGCACCGTCCCATGTGGGAGCCATTAGCCACGTGTGGCTATCAAGCCCTTGAAATATGGCTGGTGCAGCTGCTGCAGCTTCTTTGGTGAAACACATGAACACTTTCTGTAAAAATGCCCAACGTATCAAAATCCCAGAAGGAATCTCTCATGGAGCTAACAAGCCCAAAAGCTGCCAACAGGTTTGCAAAATCCAAGGTCCACGGGGGCTGGGCATGTGAGCCCAGTGAGCAGGGCGGGGGCAGGAGCAAAGCAGAGGGCCGGTGTCCCCTCAAGCAGGCAGCCCTTCCTCCACTCCCTGCTGCTTCAGGGACCCTGAGCCAGCCTTTCCAGATCTCTGGATTTTGAGGAGAAGCAGGATATCTGGATGTTTATATGAAACCTGCCAACTTTTAAATGTTGGTAACTAATACATTTTTTAAAAAACACCCTGGTGTTTGAGCCAAAAAAACAAGAAGTGACTCGAACGACCTTTTTCTTCCCCATCCTTGACTCAGAGCGTGGATCCTGGACGCGGCTCGCAGGCCTCCAGGCTCCCCGAGGGCAGACGCCTGGGTATTCTGGCCAACTGCCTACCTAGTCCTTGACCAACCCACCTCTGTTCCCTCTTCAGCCCTAGAGACCCCCTCCCCTAACAACCGGGCATCTCAGGGGACCCGCAGGCTTCCCGAGCCAGCCCTTTGCCCTCCCTGGCTCTGTGCTGGGGGCCAGCGCTGCTCTCCTGCCCGGATCTGCCTGGGCAGAGCTGTGGAATGGGACCCTGTGAGGCACATCAAACCTGGCCCGAGGCTCCCGAACACCTCTCCTAATTTGGGGAAATTGGTGCTCCTGGCTTGGGAACGGCGAAGAAACAGGAAGCAGGATCTCTGGAGGGAGGTGGAGCAGGTGAGGTGAATGCCCAAGAAAGGGTGAAAAAGGAAAACAGGGTGATCTCAAGACAGAACGGCTGCTGTCCACGTGCAGGACTCAGAACACTGGGTTCCGAAAACGCTTTGCCCAGGGGTGACTGGGGCTTAAGCAAATGAGGGGGATCCTGTCACAGACCTCGCTCTTGGCAACTCAAGGTGCCCATTTGCATCCTAAAACTCCTGTAATTTAAAAAACAGCCCTGGCCGGTTCGGCTCAGTGGATAGAGCGTCGGCCTGCGGAATGAAGGGTCCCGGGTTCGATTCCGGGCAGGGGCATGTACCTTGGTTGTGGGCACATCCCCAGTAGGAGGTGTGCAGGAGGCAGCTGATCGATGTTTCTCTCTCATCCATGTTTCTAAATCTCTATCCCTCTCCCTTCCTCTCTGTAAAAAATCATAAAAAAAAAGCAGATGCTAAAAGCTAACACTACTTTTCTCAGGTCTTTAAAAAATAAATAAATGAATGAATAAATAAATAAATAATAAAAAACAAAGTAGTGTAACGTCAACTCGCTATTTGCCAAACTTCTTTCACCCGGAACTCCACTCTCCCCAGCACCCCTGGCTCAGTGGGATCCCATGTGGGGCAACGGGGTGGCAGTCACCTCCCAGCCTGTCCAAGCCACATGGACTAGTTGGCGGGAGGGCAGGACTGCACAGATGGAGCCTGGCTGGGCCTTGCTGACATACTGGGGTCCATTCCAGGGACCTGGGAGTAGCAGCTGGAGCAAGGCTGGGGGACGGGAAGCCGCCTGCCTCCGGACTGGCGTCGGTCACCCGCATCTAGAGCCATCAAACACGCATCACGTGTTTTAGCATGTGCCAGGCCTTTCCCCTAAATGAACTCATTTTAGTTCCCACATCACCCCGTGGGGGGAGGGTCCTCACCCACAGACCGGCGAGCGCTGAGAGGTGAAGGACCTGCCCTTGGCCGCCTGCGTGCTGCCCACACAGACTTCACCCTCTGGCGTGTGCGGAAGCACACACTGGCCTCCTCCGCTCCGTGGCCCCAGACCCCTCAAATCCCCCGTGAGTGTTGGAATTACAGATACCCGGCTCGACCCCAGAGATTGACTCAAAGTGCCTGCGGTGGGGCCCAGGCGTCTGTATTTCGGGGGAGCTCCCCAGGTGATTCTGACAAACAGCCAGAATGAGAAAGAACTTCTTCAGTGACTCCTCAGGCAGCCCTTGGTGGGGGCAGAGGGCAATCGAACGCTGGCTCTGTGGATGAAAAGGGGGCCACAGACGAAACCTGACAAGCTCAGGGGAGGCCTGCCTGAGGGGCCTTACAAACTCAGGGACCGGAAGTAACCACACAGGGTGGTCTGAGCTTAAAGCTTCCTAACCAAAGGAGAGTCGTAGAGGGTCGTCACGTCCTAGGCCTATAGGTTCCTTGACAAACCTCAATCTGTACCTTAGGTGAGCCTGTCATTTTGCATCTAAGATAACATACCTTTGAAATGTCAGCATTATCTCCTTTACAGACACCCCACCAGGGAACAACCTCCCACCGGATCAGGAGACCACAGAACCCCTCATGGTATCTTGTTCCCAGAATCCCCTCTCCATGTGCTGTAAATGTTACTCTGTACCTGCCCGGTGCCCTCCCATGCAAAAGAAGTATGGGTCTACCCATTTTACTTTCTACCCAACCCCAGAGATTTCCCCGAGTTGCTCTCCCGCCTCCCTCATCTATCACCAATGAATTTTAAGTAACCGCCCTCCTTGGTCTCCCCTTTAATTCTGATGTATAAAATAAGTGGTAAAACTGACATTTTTTTCTGGAACATTTTCTCAATCCATTGAGATTTTGCTTCCCCGCAATTGTCATCAGTTGGGCTCAAATAAACTCATAAAAATTCGTACAGGTTTGGACGTTTCTTACGCCGACAGCTCCAATCTCATTTGACCCAACTGTCCTGACCTCCACTCTGAGTGTCCCAGGTACGGGTTGGGATGTCAGTTCCTATCTTCCTGTCTGCTTGCGTTAAGGGGAAGGGTCCCAGATGGGGTGAGGAGGAGGGTGGGGCCCGGAGAGAGGGCAGAGCTGCCAGGCCCCGGATGATGCACGGGCCAGTTGGGACACTCGGTGGGCAGGTTTCTGGGGATGAGCACCTTCCTGCCATGGGACCTTCTTGGCTGTGCTTGGTGGGAGACTCGGCTGCAGCCCTGGGGTGCAGAGGGAACGCGGGGTGGGGGCCGGTGGGAAGTGGGAGGGAGCCAGTGTGGGTGGCAGGATGCCCTGGGCACAGCTTCTCCTGAGGCTTGTCTTGACTCCCGGAGGGAGCAGTTTTCTGCGTGTGAGCTGGAGGGCTGTGGAAAGGCGCTGCCTGCCTCTTGGGTTCCCAGCTTCCTTTCCAGGACCTGACTGGTGTGTGCTGGGGCAGGGAGGGATGGGGGGCCGCTGCCCCCTCTCCAGTCTCCTCTGAAGGACTGGGCGTGGCTGCTCTCTCTGCCCACCCGTCACCCCAATCGCACTCACCACCTCCTCCCACACGAAGGGCCCTGCTTACTCACCTTCTCGATGACCCCGACCACCCTGCAGCCTCTCAGCTGCTCCAGGGCAGAGCTCAGTGTGCGGATGGGCCGGAGCCTCAGGCTGCTGAAACCCTGCGGAGGGGAGTCAGCTCAGGCCCCAGCCCTCCTCAGCCAGGCAGTGGGCAGGGCCTCCAGCTGCCGGGGGAGCACAGGGAGTGGGCAAGAATGGGGTACGGTCCAACCTCACCTCACAGGGACAGGCTAGCAGAGAAGCTGGTCCTGACTTTGGGGGGGGGGCCCACAGGGACAGGCTAGCAGAGAAGCTGGTCCTGATTTGGGGGGGAGCCCACACTGCCCTCTTCACTCAGCCCCCCCCCCCCCCCCCCCCCCCCCCCCCCCCGCAGCCCTTCTCCAAGGCTCAGGGAGTCCTTAAGGCTTCAGAAGCCACCCTAGGAAGCCCCATCTCCAGGAGGCAGATGCTCCCGGGGGTGGGGAAATAACCTGGGAACGTGTGGATCCCAGGGAACATGCCTCGAAGACCAAGGCATGTGGCCCAGGCACGTGATTTGGGGAAAAGTGAGCCTAGGAGGGGTGCGTGTGCATGTCTGTGCACACCTGTGGGCATGAGAGGTGTGCATGCATTTTCAACCCCCTCTGCGTGTGCACTGGGTTAGGAAAAGCCATATGGGGAGAGCATCCGTGCACATCTATGTATGCATGTATGTGTATGTGCACACGGCGGTATTCGTGTCTGCTCCAAATACTGAGGCCCATTCAAACACAAACAGACCTGGAAGCCTTGAAGTGTGTGCACATGCGAGCATGTGTATGAGCCGTGGGCGAGGGTGGGGAGATGTGTGTGTGTGTGTGCTCTGTGAGGGCGCGAGACTGGACTGGGGATGATTCACTAAAGAGACTGGACTGGGGATGATTCACTAAGTGTTGGAAAATGAATGAACTACAGAGGGTGTGGGAGAGAGAGGAAGCCAAAGGATGGGGGGAGGAGGGCCGGTCCCGGCATACCACTGCCAGCCCAGCCCTGCAGCCCGCTGGCCCACGGGCGGGGAGCGGCTCCTCACCGTGCCAGGGCTGGCTCCGCTGCCCAGGGTCCTCTGCAGGTGGCAGTTGAAGATCTCCTCTGCCCGCCGCAGGTACTTGGCGATTTTCAGCTTTACAGCCTCACATCGCTCCTTGTTGGGGTCCACTGTGGGGGGAGGGGGTTACCAGGACCCGCCCTGCTCCCCTCCCTGGCCCTGGAGGGCTGTGGTTCTAACTCCCATTGCCTGCCCTCTGCCCTCCATAGGACAGGGTGCCTAACTCTGAGGCTGGTCAGCAGATCCTGCCCCACATCTGTTCCTGAGCCCCTCCTCTGGGAGGGAGACTGGCGGGGGAGGAGGAAGGAAGATGGCAGGAGGGGTTGGGAGCTGCGGTCACCCTCTGCCTACAGCACTTTGCAGCTGGCACCCAGAACCTCGCTGGACGCCGTCACACCCTGGGCAGGGACCGAGTGGGATTTCCATGTCCATTTTCACCGGAGACAGAAGCTCCCAGAGAACATGGCTTCCTTCCTCTCTGGTGGCCAGTGTGAAAAAGGCCAGAGAGGGATCAGGATTGGAAGACAAAGGAATTTGCTGGACAGGCCTGCAGCCCAGGCACCGAGGGGTCTGGTCAGCAGGAGGGTAGGAAGCACAAATCAGGGCCTGACTCTACCCGAGCCTGGCCACCAAAGCCCCGGGTCCCACACTGGCCTCAGGGCCAGCCTCTCCCCCAGCTTGGAAATGCCTTACTTTGCCCTGAACAGGCTCCTCCCCTTCCCTCCCTTCCAGGCTTTGCTGTTCTCTCTCAGGAGCTCTGCCCGACCTTTCAGCTGGACAATGCACCTGCGGTTCTTCAGTGCTCCGACTAGAGTTTGGACTTCTAGAAAAATCCCCTAGGCCGGCCGCACCTGGACTCAGTTTCCCTCCCTTCACTTCCTCCTCATTGCCCTCCACACGAGACTCTAATTGTCCATCGTCAACTCATCAGCCTACCCCCATTACACACGAGCTATGTCACTGCCCTGTGCCTCCGTTTCCTATAAAAATAGTTCCTATGTACTTGGAGCTCCACGCAACAACATACATAGTATCTTCTATGACCGTGAGGTTCAGGTGAGTTAATACAGGCAAAGCCCTTGGACCGGCGCCTGGCATGTAGGAACTGCTCGATAAACGCTCGCTGTTATTAGTGTCTTTCGGAGAGGCCCGCGGGCCCTGTTCACCCAGCACGGATGGACAGATGAAGGACGAGCTCCACCAGCCCCTCCCTCCCCAGCCCCTGTCCCTGCGCAGCCCAGCCCAGCCCTCACCGTGCACGCCGCGCAGCAGGACGTCCACGCTGTTCTGGTAGTGGTTGAAGGCTGCCTCGTAGTCCTCGCTGACATCGCGCTCCAGGGCCAGCCGGATCTGCGTGGCTGCGTCCACCAGGTAGTCGCGCTTGGCCACGTCAGGTGCCCCCGGAGCCACCCGGTTGCGAATCTGCTCCAGGTACATGCGGGCCTGGGACGGTGCTCGGGAGCAGGGCTCAGGCTCCTGCCCAGGGCCAGGGGGGCACTCGCAGGCCACCAGGCTCATGGCTGCTGCCCTGCAGGTGCGACCTGGGAGTGAGCAGATGCATGAGGGAGGACCCAGCTGGGAACAACACCCAGCTTTCCTCCCCGGAATATTCAGAGACTAACACCTGGGATGGGTTGGGGGGCGGGACCCTGCAGGGTCAGAGCTAATGTGGGTAAAGTCCTTTCACGGAGCCAGGTCTTTCCTAAGTGGTGGTAACAGAATAAGAACACGCTTGGGGCTCCTCCCTTCAATTCAAATTCAGTTCAACAAGTATTTCTTGAGCACTTACGAGGTGCTGAGCACTGGCGAGAGCTGAAGGTATCTGTGACCCCGAGCTGCCTTCATGTGGCACAGAGCACCCCCATGTCTGTCACACAGTAAACACAACGGAGGCCGAACTCTGAGGCCGAGGCAGGGCCGTTCCTCACACTGTTCCCTCCACCCTGCCTGTTCCCCCTTCCTGCTCCTCCCACGGGAATCTCACTTTCCCTCCCCATTCAGCTCCAGACAGAAGGGCCGGCCCCTGCTTTGTTTCCCTTAGTGCCGAGGTCAGTGTGGTCAGGGGTGAGGACCTCCCACACCGCCCAGCACAGAGCTGGGCACAAAGCCAGGCCTTCAAGCCTGTGGGCAAGTGCAATGACCCAGTGGCAGATGGATGGAGCTGGAGGGAGGAGGGCAGGGCCTACCCAGCCCTGGGGAGGGGATGGCTCTGTTCTCCTGGCTCCTCTCTGAAGCCAGGAGCCCACGTGGCCAGAGACCGGACAGCTCCTTTCTGAGCGTGTGGGACACACGTGGCCAAAGGGACAGAGAAGTGGCTGCGGCCAAGGAAAGGGCTCGGAGAGAGGCCAGCAGGGCTGCCCCTGCCCCTCTCTGCAGGGCGCCCCTGCTCTCAGGCCCCAGTGGGAAGGGGCCGGGCCTGAACTCCCAATCTCAGGCATGCCCGCCTCTGTAGAGAAAGGGAGGAGAGAACAGGATGGGGAGGGGGGCGGGAAGGGAAACCCACACCCCGGGGCCAGCGGGGAGCTGCACCCTGGCCAGCCTGAGGCCAGGAGGTGGAGGGAGGGATTCGGTCCAGCCACCCCACCCGGGACAGGACATGGAACTCTGAGGCCTGTGTTGAGGCCTGAGGCCGGTCCTGCGGGCAGAGCCTGGTGGGTAGAGCCGCAGGACGAGGCCTGGACACAGAACGCGGCGCGTCCAGCCCGTGAGTTCCAGGCACGCGGGGGCACCACCCCGCTGGGGTCAGGCCGAGGAAGGTGAGCTGGGGAGTGAGAAGAGGGGGCATCCTCGCCTGGGAGGAGGGATGGTGAGGAGCCGGGCAAACACGTAC